ATTAATAAATTTATCGCTTGATTACTTCATTTATTTTATCTGTACAAAACTATGCAGACAAATCTTCTTTTTCTTTTGGAAGTTCGATATATATATTTGGTTTGTAATTATTAATGAAAAAGATTATTTTAATTAAATACTTGCATTTAATCAATGTATATATATAAAGACATAAGGTAAGAAGTTTAGAACTAATATTTCACAAAGACCAGAAACTGAAATTCATAATTAATAAATTTCAATCCTCCCCCCTGATGAAGTGACATTGACATTTAATTCTTCTTCTTTTTTTGTTCATTTTTCTTTAAATTTCATAATTTTTGAAGATGGGTTTTGCTTGTTTGAAATGCTTTGTTTTTAACATTTTTAAATTCATTGTTGCATTTATATGTTTTTTGAAATTTATTAATTATGAATTTCAATTTCTGGTCTTTGTGAAATATTAGTTCTAAACTTCTTACTTTATGTCTTTAGTGATAATTTTTCTGCAGTTTAATGCGCGAAAATAACTAGGCATGTTTTTTTTTTTTTTTTTTTTGAAAAGCATTGTTTTGTAATTATATATATATGCCATAGCCAAATGCCTGTAAAAGTTTTTTTACAGGCATTTGGCTGTAAAAGCAAATTTATGCTGTTACGAATTTTGTATATCAGTAAATAATTTCAGAGAAATTATATGTAAATTGTAGAATGTCTCGTGTAATGTAACACGAAAGGCTTCAGGAAGCGAAGCATGGGAAAAATAAGGTTACGTGGGTAAGCCCATTTAATATTCAGGTAAATGGCTATGTCAGTGAATTGGCAAAGGTTTTAGCAACGATTTTCGCCACTGGGTTTTTGTCGCCATATTTGGTGACAAATAAGCAAATGTCTCCAAAGTTGGCATCATTTGGCGACATTTTCGTCTAGCCGCAGTCTGTAACTGTAACTAGTACAATCTTTACATAACTGCAACTATATTCGACCCTGAGTAATTGTAACTGTGTATGCCTTCTAGCAGTTTCGAAATATTGGAAGTTTCTCGATTTGAAGGTACTGGAAATTTCTCCTTTGTCATACTAAGAAGAGCTGTACAAGAACTTTTGTGTGAAAAGTTCAAGCATTGTAAAATGTTTTTGAAAAAATAAATTTCATCAAACTATCATCAGTTCTGTGTGCATGCAATCCATTACGAACTTTACGCACGTAACAATATTTTTGCTTTCAGATCAAACAGATTGATCAAAGAGATTCAAATCTTTGATTTTTAAAAGACCGCCTCGAACCGCACGATTTACCTCGTTGACATCCAGCTGTTTTTTCTTCATTCAGCGAATGCTAATTCTCTCGACCAGCTGCAAATGAATTGGTGTAGTTACAAATGTGCTTCTACAGCCCTTGAACCATGTTGCTTTTCGAATAAATACCTGTTTTATCAAATGCAATGTCCTATCACAGTTGACATTGCATCGCCTTATTCCTTTTTCAAGCAAAGTACATATCATGCTATTAATGCACACTTTCCTTGACAGTAAAATACCCTAATTTTGAAAACAATAATAATGCATACGTACTGCTTCTTGTTCTATAGAATGCAGGTCTCAAATTTTCATCATTTCTTTGAAAATTCAAGGTCAAAATATAGCAATAACAGTTAATTTATATACTCATTCATTAAAACAAAAGTTGGCTATAGAGATGCAATCGATATTTTATCAAACAATGGTGTTGTGACGTCATAGTTATCCGTAACTTGTGCTAAAGCACACTGCTTCAAGGCAGTTTGAAGGCCGACAGAATAATGCGTAAGTACCTATGTTATCGTTGGCATTCCGGAAGGTATTCAGATTTTATTTTCAGAATAAAAGGGTATTAGGTAGAATATTTCACTTATATTTATGTAACCAAAAATGTTGCAAATAAAAGCAATTCTTAAATAAAGAACAGATTTATGTGTATGTCATACGAAAAGAGATACATCTAAAGACAAATTCCTCGCAGTATTTCTGTATATGTTTATTCGCCATCACAGCAAATAAATCTGCCATGCGCGGGGACATGGATAACCCTTTAGAACAGCTCAGTTTAACCGCCTGTTATCGAGGGATTTCTCAAACAGAAGCCAAAATCCATTTTGCTTTTGCCTTCTCTGAGCTGCGATTAATGGGCCCGTCATTCTGCAAGCCATCGAACGAAGGAAAAAACTCGACTTCTTTATTTTGAAAGAAAATTCGAGCTGGATGAGCTGCTTGAGCTGGATTATGTTCCGGCTTTTTTTTTTTTTTTTTTTTTCATCTTCTTGTCGGTTTTGATAAAAACCTTCGCATTATTATTTCCGAAATATGTTTAAAAATTTTCAAAGAGAGGAAAAAATTTCGCTGCTATTTTTTCCTTCAAAATATATAGTTAACTGCTGTTATTATTTTTTGTCAAAACTTTCATTTCTTGTTAAAGCAAAAGGTAAGAAACTGTCTTTAGCCTGTAAGTAATAAGATAAAAATGTGACCGCGAAATTTAATACAAATTAAAATAAAATGTAACTCAGAAAGTAAAACGATTTCTACGTGTTTGCTGCCAAAAAATATGTTTTCTCACACAAAATCCACAAGTAGGCAATAGAGAATATGGGGCTTGATAACTAGTTCCAGACTTTAGTCCTGCTCCTAAATGAAGATCAAAAACCTGGGAGGGTAGAGCTACTCCAAAAAGCAAAGTATTGTTTGTCATTATAGCAAGTATTGCACTTTTTACCATATTTATTGCAGCGCTTTTGAATTTATGATGAGCGAGGCTCACGTGAAACATACTGTGATATCCCATTTCAGGCTTTTTGACTTCAGGTTCCCTGGAAAAAGAGGCTTCCTGGAGGCCCAATTGAATGGCGACAATAACAACAAATCTGGTTGGTTGGTTGGCTGGTGTCGTGTCTTTTGACAAGTCAAATGGATCCATGAGAAGAAATCACTGCTATTGCCAGTTCCACAATCTTTTCACTGTACAGCTCTTCCTGGGAAAACAATTCTCTGAAGCTTTTGCAGAGTTGCAAGTATTGCCAGGCAGGTGAAGATGTGTTCTGGAGAAACTCAATTTTGGTGCAGTTTCTACAAGTTCCTTCATTAATTTTCATTCCCCTAAAATGGTAGGTTCTCAATCTAGCAATGGTCTTTGTGATTTATCTGTTTGCATCAATCTCACATATTTGATGGTATTTCTTAATAGATTTCTCTTTGAGTCTATATTTGGCAATGGCATTAGCATCTTCACAGGGATTGAGTTCTTGAGATTTGTTGCCTTTTATCCAGTTCATCGGCTGTCTCGTTTCTATCGATTCCAGCATGTGCAGGTATCCATTGCATAATGCATGTCTTTTCCGTCTGGTTGATTGTTTCTTGGTGTTGGTATACATCTTAGGTGAGCCTTGAATGCCCTTGTAGTATTGCCTCTAGGGCAGCTTTAGAGTCACAGTAAATTACAAGTCCGCTGGCTTTATCATTGTCATTTAAGTCGATGTAAATTTTCAAGGCCTTCTGTATTGCCTACTCCATGGCTTTGGAGTATAGTTGCTTCATTTGGTACAGTCCTTTTTGTGAGCTGATTTGGCAAATAATTACACAGGTGGTTCATCAGATAGCCAACGCATGGTTACACAGGTGGTCAACAGGTGGAAGGTATGCTGATGGATTTAGGACTGACCATAATTAATGATAAAACAACAAATCTAAAGTCAACAATAGTTGGCATGTATTTTAAAGGCATAATTTTTCTTTAGAACTGATGAATTTTCCGACATCTGAAATTCTCACATAGTAATATTATTTTTATAGTTGCCCAAAAATTTGGCGCAGAGTAAGGTTTGTTGTGTGGCATAGGGGAGATGTGCCAAAGCGCTTTTTAGCCCCTATGTCAATATCGTGCGTTGCATTGAACTCAGAAAAAAAATAGCACTTCAGAAATTGTGAAGAGAAAAACAAACTTGAAGTCGACAGCAATAAGTCTGTTTTCTCTTCAGAACTCTATAATTAATTTTTGCGCATCTGAAAAATCTTGAGTTATGCAATTGTTATGTCTATTCAAAAATCTGCTATAGCGCATACCTTTGCTTTTTTATCATGGTGGAAAACGTTACAACACTTTTATACGCCAAAGTCAATAGATTGAGTTTTACTAACCTTACACACACACACACTTACAAACAAAATAGGAGAGGAATTCACCTAAATGTGTGAAAAGGAACAATAGGACTGAAGTTAAAGCTGATATTTCTTACAAAACTTCATGCGGTTCATAATACTTTTAAGATCGTAAGTGGGATCTGTAAGGTAAAATTTCATGATCGTTTATGTAAGGCATAGGTAAGTTCTAAGTAACACTTTTATACGCCAAAGTCAATAGATTGAGTTTTACTAACCTTACACACACACACACTTACAAACAAAATAGGAGAGGAATTCACCTAAATTTGTGAAAAGGAACAATAGGACTGAAGTTAAAGCTGATATTTCTTACAAAACTTCATGCGGTTCATAATACTTTTAAGATCGTAAGTGGGATCTGTAAGTTAAAATTTCATGATCGTTTATGTAAGGCATAGGTAAGTTAAATATCTCAAAATTTGCATCAAAATCTTGACTATTATATTTATTTTTCCTTTCTTAACCCACAGTCATTACTCTGACGCAACAGGATCTCTAGTTCGCATGAAATGAAAAAAATTATCTTTGCTTTTTGAGGTTTGTTTTATTAAAGTATCGTTAACACATTTATTACGCAATTAGCAACACGAGTTACGTTGGAAAGCAGATCTAGTTTTGCTAAAATATTACAGATTCAAGTTGTCACATGCATGAGGCATTGCTTGCTCTTCGTTTTAATAAAACGATTTTATTAATGCGTTTACTGCTCTTAAATCTTTTCATTTTTTAAACATTCTTTCAGAAACTCACAATAATGTTTAGTATGCAGTTTTCATATCAATATTTCAAAATTTAAACAACTGTAATTGAATGTAAAATATTACTTACAAAGAACGGGAAAAGAAGTCTGTCATTTTGGGCAACAAATTTCTTCGCTTTAGCTACGACAAACTTTTCCAGAGGAAACGATTTTCCAGCAAGTTTTTGTTTCAAACCGGGAACTTTCCTAAAATTAAAATAAGTTAATAAGTAAATAATAATAAAAAATATGAAGGGTTTCAGATTTTAACGATCGGCCAAAAGGGTTTGTTTAGGTTTTTTACACTTTCACTGAGTTCGCAGACTACCAGTCTGCTCTTAAATACATTCCTACTAACCCACTTTTTTGTCTTTTTAAATTTATTATGAACCATCTTTCTTTGCACGTACGCGCCATACATTTCAGTAACAAAATCTCAGGATTTTTAACAGCTTCAAAGCAGTACATGGTTAGAATTCTCGATGCAGTTCCCGATGTGTTGGCATACAGTTTTTATATTTTTTTCAGTCTTTTATCAATTTATCATATCAATGTTCATTTTCTTAGTAAGATGGTTAACAAAAAGTTATTTTGTCTTTTATTATTAACTTTTTATACTATATAAACTTTATTCATTAAATATCACGTTCTTCGAATTTACGTCACATAGAATTCAATTCTGCAGCAAAATCACAAAACCTTCAAAATTAGCAGATTCCAGATAGATTGTCAGAGGCTTCTATACATATTTTTCCATTCGCTATATTATTTCTTTGAAAACTAGCCTTCTCGCGACCAGCCGATTAAAACAGTTATTTCAAAAAAAGACAAAGTATATAATGATTTAAAAGAGTCTATCTTGTGTAACTTTAAAAAAAATATTGAATATTTTTAGCTAGAAATCTCATGATTTTAATGCATGTTTATTTAAATCAGGAAATCAAAAAAAGTATTTGTTTACTGCTTTTTTTTATTCAGTAACCTTCCTGATTGAAGTTGGAAGTATCTTAAATTTCACTGAATGGCAATACCCTTGCGCATGGAATACCTGACTCTTTAAGTAAAATAAATTTGAATTTATGATATATTTCAAATATATCGGTTTGCGTTATAAGTTCTAATTTTTTTCAGTCAAGGTAGAATTTCGTATATCATAGAAATCATGCTTCATTAAGAGTATTTGGTGGTTTTCAAAAAATTGAGCCAAGTTTAATGATAGTTTGTAATCCGTTTTCGACAACAAATTGATAAGTACATCTAGTGAGCTACAATTTGAAATTATAGATATTGAATGTAATTCTACACTTCTGACCATTAAAACTGCAACACAATGAAGGAAAACAAGTAGAAAAAATATATTGATTGCATGTAAAAAAAAAAACAGTATGGCATGAAGACAAAATGATTGGTTATGTAAGCAGTTTTGGGGTTTACAAGGGTGCGAAATTAGTAGAAACAGCTGCCACCCCTGGGAGCTATAACGACCCTTACCTGATTAGGCATGATTAGGCAAGAAATCTTGGCTGGTAACTCATTCCGTGCTGCTTCAAGTTTATGCCACTCTTCATCAACCGTATAGCTAGAGAGGGGAGGCGAACTAGTCTCTCAGTAAGCCATGACCAGATTTTATCAATGGATGACAGATCAGATGACCGTGCAGACCAGGGCAGCAATCGAATACCCTGTGTATCGATTGCTGCCCGGGTCTGCACGGTCTGATGCTGATTGATGCTGCGCATGCTTGCGGCCATGATGCATGGTGTTGTTTGAGTGGAGAAATAAAATGCTTATATCTTGGTAAATATTTGAATTAAGTGAGTGAAAGTGCATTTTTCTGACTTTTTTTGTGTTCCGATCTGTGTTTTATAACTTTATTTCGAATTAGAAGTCGTATTTTTGAAGATTCATGGACTTTGAATTTCTGCGAGTGCTAGCCGGATCATTAGCATATGGTTAATAGATTTTTGCTTATTATTTCATGGATTTACTGCGCAAATGACTTCTGATTTATGCTTTAGACTCTTTATTACTTACTTTAAGTCCATGGTTAAAAAGCATAGTGATTGATTGAATATTAATTTAATATTTGCACTTTAAACTTTTTGAGTGACGTTAGGCTTAATGTGGCCGCTATTTGTTTAACATTTGAAGGCTTCGTGTTTGCACTTCCTACATAAGACTTTTAGCCAATGATGTAAAAACTTGATCTGAGTTTATGAATATTACCAGGAATAACTGATCGATCTTTTGGTGCATTATTGAGTGTGGTTTTGGCCCATTGGTCGATTTATTTATTTTGCGCAAAACATTTATATTTTAAAATTTAAGTTTTTTTTTCTGCTGTTTTGTGAATTTAAAAAGATTGCAAACTTGAATTTTGTGTGATACAGACCATTTTTGTGATTTTTAATTTTATTGTTTTTAAATATATTTACTTTGTATTTTAGATTTGTAAATATGTTTTTAATTCTGAATATTTTATATACAGCCCTGTCGCAGTATTGTAATCTTGATATTTATTTATTTTTATAATGAGTCGACTGAAAAGATGATGTTGAGAAAGAATTTACAGGTGTGATAGTGAAATATTGGATGGTTCTGATATAACGAAAGAAAAAGAAAAAGATGGATTGTGATAATGAAAAATTAAACGATGATGAGAAAGAATTGGGAAGCGTCCTTTCTGCTGTTAGGGCCCTCTATGGATTTGTTGATAAATTAAAAGTTAGAAGGGTCTCACGTGAGATTACTGAAGGATTGGCAGGGGAAATTGACAAAGTTGTTGAATTACTTGCTGCGCAGAATTTAAGAAGTATTGAAGATAATTTTATACATTCGAAAACGGATGTTTTATTGGAGATTAAGTAGGGCATTGATAGATTAAAAGTACTCTTCGGGAAAATCGACATAAACAAGAGAATAAAAAGAATAGATTTATGGATAATAAGAATTGGTAAGAAAATGAATTAATTGTTAGACCAGCGATGCCTGGAATTGATGTCTATGATGAATTAATTGTGAATGTAAAACCTGATGATATGGATGCACAGATTATGAGTTCTTTTGTTAAAAGAAACGGTGATTTAGTTATGAGATTTTTAAAGAGAGTAAACAAGTTGATATGGTTCAAAATGTTATTGATTTCTAAAGAAAAAGAAAATTTAAAAGATAAGTTGTATACACAGAAAAAAAGATTTATACAGCCAAAACTTATTGCATATAATGTGTGCAACTATGTAGAAGATGATGAAATTGCTGATAAAATGAGGAGTGAAGTGTGGTTGTTCCGGCGACTGTGGTGCGTCCATTATTTAGGATAAAAAAAGAATCAAGTTGAAGTTACTCATAGAGTTTTTCGTGTAGGATCCCCAGTGTCAATCCTCAATTTTAGAGGATAACAGAGTTCGTGTTGGATGGAAGGCCTATGTAGCAAAACTTTATCTTAGGCCAAAGAGATGTTTACGTTGCTTCAAATTTGGACACACCACTAAAACATTGTAAAAATGATGTTACTTGTATCAAGTGTTCAGAATCTCATGTAGTTAGAAATTGTATTAAAGAAAAGGAAATATGTGCTAACTGTAAGGATTCGAATTTGAAATATGGTACTCGTTTTGATGTGAATCATCATGTTTTGGCAAAGGATTGTGAACTTTATAAGCGTGAGATTAAATTTATTTCTGAACATTTGCGTATATTGGAATAGTATTGTTTGGATTTTAATTAATTATAAACTGCGATTGGGCTGTTTTTTCTGTGCTTGTCATTATTTTAACTGCTTTATCTGTTTTTATGGCATGTAATTTTATATTTGTAATTGTTTTTTTTTATTATTCCCTTGGATATGAAAATATTAAATATTAATCTGAATCACATTGTGCGGTGGCAGCTTGCCAGTTGGCCGCGGTTGAAAATATTTTAGATAAAAATTTTGATTTGATTACAGTGCAAGAGCCTTATTTTATAAATGATAAGATGCCATATTTAAATAAAGGGTGGAGAGCGGTATATATGATGAGAAAGGCAGATCAGCCATTATTGTCACAAATGATGAAAGTGAATTTATTGTCGATTGTAAAATGAATGAAATTATAGCCATTTCTTTAAGGATGGATCAATTTGTGTTTAGGAATTGTGTCCGTTTATTTCTCCCCTGCAGAAAATTTACATTTAACAAGGTTGGAACAAGGTTTTGGAAATGTATAAGTATTTATTATTATTGGTGATTTTAATTCCAAAAAATTTTAACTGGGGGGGGAAAGAATAGTTGATAATCGGGGATCTTTGAAACTATGGATTTTATAATACAGAATGATTATGATTTTATTTAATCAAATGGACTCTTTACCAACTTTTGTATCTGCTGTTGGGGAGGGTTGGACAGATTTAGTCCTAGGTTCTTCCTCATTATCGACATTTAATACCGAACTGAAGATTTATGAAGAGGAAAGTTTAAGCGATCACCGATATGTCTCCTTTGAAATCTGTGATGTCCAGCCAATATATTATAAAAATATTGTGTTCACAAAGAATGTTTATAAACTGAATAAATTTTGCAGAAAACTAAGACCAAATATAGATCGGATGAGAAAAAGATTGGATGGAATTTATGATCCTGTTATCCTTGATGAATTTGAAAACTTAATAGTAAAGAATGCTAAGAAACATCTAATTTTACGTAAAAGGAAAGTAGAGATGACATATTGGTGGAACGCTGATTTACAGAGATGTAAACGAAGAATAAGGGCTTTAAGAAAACATTATCAAGTTAGACAAATTGATGAAGACACTCGAAGAGAAAGGAAAATATTATATAAAAAGGAAATGGCTCTCTATCGAAAAAAGATTAAAAAGACAAAATATGAATATAAGATGAAGCACTTTTTGGATAATAAAGACTACTATGATTGCTACTTTCGATTGGCAACACGTAAATCTAGACCTTCCCCAAATGATTATAAGAAAAGATGAGCAGAGTACTGATGAATTTTCTGATGTTATTAGAGAGATTATTTTATGGAAAAACTTTGATTGTGGAAATCCTGAGGATGGTATTGTTAAAGGATGAACTTTTAACATCTCCGAACTGTGGTGCTGATGATGTTTTTATTTTCTATAGATGAGATTCGTTATGTTGTGGGAAAATTGAGAAATAAAAGTGCTCCTGGAATTGACTGTATACATGCTGTTATGGTTAAATGTTTATT